TGAAACAGATCACCAGCCTAGGTTGGGTGCATGAGACAAGTGCTCGGGCCTGGTGCACTGGGAAGACCCAGAGGGATCGGGTGGAGAGGGAGGTGGGAGCGAGGACCGGGATGGGGAATACATGTAAATCCATGGCTAATTCATTTCAATGTATGACAAAAACCACTGCAAAGATGTAAAGTAATTAACCTCCAACTAATAAAAATAAATGGAAAAAAAAAAAAACAAAGAGGCTTAAACAAAATTGAAAAAAAAAAGCATGAAATAAAAAAGTGTCTTTAAAATAAAAAAAAAATAAAAAAATAAAAACAGGCAGAGATGTCAAAGATATACAGGAATAAGTGGGAGTTAGAGAGGTTTTTTGAGTAATATCAATATATTTGATTATTTCTTGAGAGCCCTGAATTCAGGTCATTATATAGTCATTGTCCCAACTTATGAAAGCAGCAAAGCTGAGACAAATAATTTTCTGTATTTAAAATAAGTCAGCACAACATTATAAAACAAGTATACTCTAATTTTAAAAAATAAATATATAAAATAGGACTTCCCTGGTGGCTCAACTGGTAAAGCGACTGTATACAGTGTGGAAGACCTGGGTTCAATCCCTGGGTCAGGAAGATCCCCTGGAGAAGGAAATGGCAACCCACTCCAGTACTATTGCCTGGAAGATCCCATGGATGGAGGAGCCTGGTAGTCTACAGTCCATGGGATCGCAAAGAGTCAGACACGACTGAGAAACTTCAGTTTATATATAAAATAGGTCAGAAAATCATGAAACAAATCATGTACGTGTGTTTAGACACCTCATTTGCAAGCAAGTTGTACATACATGGAGCCATCACCCAGGGCCTCAGGGCCCTTCCTCCTGACATGGAGGTACATTCCTGCCTTTTCCCAGACCCTACACAGCCCTCACCCGTCATCCAGAGAACAAACCAGCTGTTCCGACCTGAAGCTACTGCTGGCGTGCCCCAAGAAGACTGACCTTACACCCCGACAGCCGCTCGGGGAGGCTGCTGTGCAGTCCGTGCCCCTCCCCTGCTGCGGTCCTTACCCACTGACCCCTCTCCCCCTCCCTCCCCTCCCCAACCTCCATTAACTCCTATCACCTACCTGTAGTCAATTTCCATGCCAGGCAAATTCTCACACATCCATGGAGTTTCTTTTCTCCCTTTTTCACTTAAGGAATCAAACTGGCCAAGGGTCAGTTATCTAAATCCTCAGGGAGCTTTATCAAATTACCACTTCCACCTTCTACTCACCCAGGAAGAACAGGAAGCAAGCATACAAAATTCCAAAGTCCCAGCTTCTCCAGCACTCTCTGAGAAACAGTGGGCAGATGAGAGGATACATCTCCAGCTTGAGCTTATAAAAAAGAATATTATTGGGAAACCTACTCTTAAGTGCTTTCAATAAGCTTCAGTTTCGCTGGAAAACCCTGGCATTTGAGGGTATCTTAAAAGTTACATTCAATTTATGCTTTCAAACAGTACTGTCTTCTTCCTCTTAATCTCTTCTTTCTTTTGTTAGTGTTGTTTTTTTTTAAACTGGAACAACTGAAAAAAGCTTGTAACAATGATCAGGGAAACCCAAAGTCACATATGTTTAAGTGAAATTTCAGCAATATAGAGAAATCTTCAAAATACTTGAAAAGGCCAAGAATCTCATTTAGTTCTTCCATGAATTTTATCTACCTTCCCACCCTCTTTCTATTGGCCTATTCCTTCCCAAATAGTAGCATTCAAAAGAAATTACAAAATGGTTTCTTCTTTAATGTTCCTACTTGCTGGTTTAAAAAATATATCTCACATAAATTACAGGGCCTAAAAATCCAGAAACTAAGCACCCACTAGATTTCATATCTCCCCTACCTCTCTCAGATAAATAGACAGAGATAAATAGATAAATATAAATCTAGCAGCCTTAGGGTGAGATTTTCAGGTTAGATACATCCTGCTTCAGACATCATTTTGAATACTTTTTTCTTGTCCTAGAAAATAAAGCTTTATAATTGGACATTATTCTACTCGGGTCACTATGTCTTCTACTCATCTTGTGATACAGGGGAAAAATAATTGGATTTTAGAATCAGAAGATGAATTGGAGCCTTGGGTCTACCCTCTCCTAGTTTTACTGTTATGAGTCATTTACTTTATCTGTTTGTACCTCAATTTTCTCAGTCACATAATGGGCATAATGATACCTACCTACACTACCAAAGAAATCGTGAGGAACCAATAAAATAGCACGTGAAAATGTACCCCAGAGAATATTTGGACTTGTAGCAGTTAAAAGCTAAGTAACAAATCCCCCAGTTATAGCTACCACAGTGAATATTTCATGATGTTATACAGACATTGTCCTGGTGCCTGCCATTCATTTCAGAAAGTGACTCTTCTCAAGAAAGAGTTTGAAGAAAGAGTCTCAAGTTGAAGGAAGGTTCGAGACTTTCTTCAAATAGCAAAACCTAATTTTAAAAATTCTTAATACAAAACCAATACCTCCAGTCCAAATAGGAAATAAATGAATACAATATAAGACAATCAAGAAATGAATTAGCAAAACTTTGTCAATACTAGAAAAAGAATCCAGAAAAACCCAAAGAATATTATTCATGCAGCCTTTCTTAGTGAGCAAAAATAGAATTTTGACATCAAAAGACCCCACAGCTCCTTTAGACAGACAGAGATAATTTCTTACTCTTTATATTTTAAATTATGTAGTTTGTTCTGATTACCAAAGAAATATATGTTCATCATAGAAAACTTGGAAATTTTTTTGGGGGGGTGGTGGAATTACTCAAAACTTTCTGAAAGTGTTGATCACTCAGTCGTGTCCAACTTTTCACAACCCCATGGACTATAGCCACCAGGATCCTCTGTCCATGGAATTCTCCAGGCAAGAATACTGGAGTGGACTGCCATTCCCTTCTCCGGGGGATCTTCGTGACCCAGGGATCGAACCTGGGTCTCCTGCATTACAGGTAGATTCTTTACCATCTGAGCCACCAAGGAAGCAAAACTCAAAACTTTCTACCTAAAAATAATTGTTGTTTTCAATTTTTTTGCATATGCATTATTTTATTTTTATTTCACTTAGTAGTATAAATATTTTATCAGATCACATAAAAATGTTCCTTGACTATAAAATGGTAAATAGCTACACATTACTTCATCATAAAGATGTATGCTGTTGTACATACTTACGGTATAGCATGTTATTTGAGTAAGGCAACAGAAACATCAAACTACAGAGCTGAACAAAATAGAGATGTTTATTTTTTATAAACAGTCCTGGAGTTAAGGTAAGGCAGTTCCACAGTGTTAGGAACCATACAGCCAAGTCTAGGATGAAAATCTGCTCCATTATCCCCAGGCCATCACCTCATCTGTGGTGCAAGATGGCCAATCCCTGTATCAGCGTTCCAGCCCACAGAAAGAGGACAAGGGAAAAGAGGAAGGTAAGGCATCTATTAACACCTGTTCTGGGGACACCACCTAGAAATCATATACACAGCTTCTGCTCATACTGTATTGGCAGAACTCAATCATGTGGAAAGACCTAATTACAAGAGAAAGCTACCAGAATTCTAAGTATCTAAAAATTCTGTAACTATGAAATTTACAGGGGAAAAGAAAAGATGTTGGGGCCCATTGGGTTTCTGCTGTTCCTTTAGAGTTCTGATGTCATAGTGTAGCCTAATCACTCTCAGCAATCCTTTTATCTCTTAACCTTCAGATTCTAATCTAACAGATATCTCCAGGTTTTGGAGTATAAAATATTGGTTTGGGTAATCTTACTGAATAGTCTAGTCAAGATTCTGGTGGCTGGGATGAGAAATATCAGGTAGACTATAAAATCTGGAGATTTCTCAGGATACTTTTTAACAAGGAGAATGTTATTTTAATAAGATTATTTTGAAATGTGTAAATATTACACATCCTGTAAACACACAAAAAACTACGTAAATTATTATTTCCCAATTCCCATTTCAAAACATCAGTATTTCAACTTCAGACTTCTGTTCCTCTGTAGCCACAGTCCTGCTGTTCCAAACAAACAAGCAGAAGGCACAACATTCTGGAGAATCATGCAGTGCCCATAAAACTCAGTGCATAAATTCACACAGAGGTGACAGAAGTCCACCAAAGGGCAGGTGTTTCTACCACCAGTCCAGTGACTCCTCTCAGCTTTCTACTGACTTCTGTATCATATGGTAGGGTCAAATCTTTTGTAAAGTGGCACTCAGAATGTGTTGATTTCACTCTTTGGTACAACTTTTGAACTTGGCTTCCCAGATTTGAAGATCCTTAAAGCCATCCTGGATTGGGCTTCTTTAATCCTGGTCACTTCCTTCCACCCATCAATTCTGGCCCTTCCCTTTTTTCCAGAACAAAGGAAGAAATTCAGTCCTGAGCTTCCTGGCAGTTACTGTTCCTCAGCAAGTTGAGGACCCTTTTTCTCTACATCAGACATAATGTATACCTATCTCCTTTAATGTTTCTCTTTCCTCTCTTTTCTCTCTGAAACTTTCCCTTCCTCTTTTTCTTGCTGCACTCTCTTGTTATACCTAAGCCAGTTGAGTGGCTCCTGATGACCATTTACCCATTGCTGATCCCTTACCCAGGGCTCCTCAGCTAAACTTCAAAAATTTAACTAATGAAGTGACCTCTAATATATTGCTTAATTTGGGGGAACTACCCATTACACTTCAGTAGCCAGTGGAACAGTGTGGTGATTTCCATGATCCAGGGATGCAATGCCCATGCAAAACACACGATAAGCAATGCCTCCAAGTTCCTTATAGAAAATGCCTGATTTTAAAATATTACTAAACAATATATTGTAGAATGAACTGAAATACGGGCACTTAAAGGCTTATAGAGTCAGATCAGTAATTACAAAAATCAATTTCTCAGATTACTGGGAAAACTACCAACAAAGAAAATCTTGCTCCCCCTGAGGTGACTTTAGCATCTTTTATTATTGAAATTCCACTATTTATTGAAACAAAGAATATTCTTTGCTTTTGTTTTCAGTTTAGGATGTGTGAGAATAATAATAAGAGAATGTCCTGGAGGGTAAATGGTGGACATAATAACGTAAATAGACTTGGTTCTCAAATCCATCCCTATAGAAGAAGGGAGATAATGGAGCAGGGTAGCAACTGAGTATGGAATGTAGAGTATGAGGAAATAGATCATCAGCTTCATAGCACCCACATGAGCTTCAGTCTGGGGATTCCAAAGAACAGTGGCACTTCTCTGCATCTTCTGTATATGTCTCTTCAAGGAATTGATTAACAAAGAAGCAGAAGTCACATTAATGATGAATTGGAGAAATGAGCTCAAGACCAAAGGAGTCACCAAAGACAAGAGTCCCTCATTGATGTCAAATACTGTGCCATTTCTCACAGTCACAAATTCAAGAGAGGGTGCCAACTGTCTGAGCATAACATACAGGAGAGTGGTGAAGACAGAAAGGAGCATACAGACCAGCAGCAGCCGGAGCATCCTGGTGGACAGATTTCGTTTCAGCAGGAGAAACACTGAGTGTTGGTAGTTAGCAATCTTCACACAATACAAGACGTTGAGCAAGGTTACAAACCAAAGACTACTAGAGTCCAAAAACATCCAACATGACAGGAGAAAACAGGATAAGGAGACTGACCTTTCCACATTTGGAGAGACGATGACAACAACATTCAGTAACAGTATAAAAAATCTGGTGATGCCCAAACTGAACAGGAGTGTGTCAGAAGAAGAGATCCTGTGGCTTTTGATGCAAGTCTTGTAACTGACCACTACAATGAAGAGATTCACAATGAGTCCTACAAAAGTTAAAATTTCAGAGACAACAATAGAAGAAAAAAAGACTATCCGAAGCATCTTTACTCATTGAGGACTCAGGAGATGCTGTGCTGATGCTGGGAGCAGGGAAAATATTGTAATGTACAAGTAGGCACCAGTACCAAGCCAGGAAAGATATTTCCTATTTTAATTTACCCACTGTGGCAAATGAACCATCAGTGGTCTAAGAGCCAGCTGCTTTTACTGAGATGCAAATCTTCCAAGGATTGCATTACTATTTCTTCATTCATATCCTGTTTTCCTTAGAAATGCCTAATTAAAACCACCAAAGTGAACCTGGGAGTCCACTTCTCCAAGAGAAGGAATGCCAAAGGGAAGAATTACAGCAGACTCCAAGGTTATCAAAATCAAATGATTGAATTCTGGTCCAGCATGTCTGGACTTCTCTTCATAGCAACCCCAGAATATGGTGGGAATTCCCATGCCTCGCTCCTACACACACACACACACACACACACACACAAAACCACGGGTGGCCACATCAAACAGGCAACACAGAGTGAGCAAGCAAGGAAACAATTAAAGGAAAGGTTGTATCAGAGCACACATTTCCACTTAGCTATCTAAAAAATTGATTACTACATTGAAGTAATTACGTTGAAACAGTATACCTACCACATTTAAACAGAATAAACAATATAGTATAAGATACAAGAATTGCATCTTAATTATATCACCAGCTCCGGGAGGTGGTGATGCACAGGGAAGCCTGGCGTGCTGCAGCCCATGGAGTCACAAAGAGTCAGACACAACTGAGCAACTGAACTGAACTGATAAGAATTAACGTTCAATACTTGAAAAGCAAGGTTTGTAGTTATAAATCAAAAACATACAATGTATTCACAAAGACAAAAAACAAGAGAACTCAAGCATGATACAAAGAAAACCTTCAAACCACAAAAGGAAAAACAAAAAAGGAAAAGAAAGGAACAAAAAGAAATACAAAATCAACTGGAAAACAAGGTTCAAAGCAGCAATGAATACATATTCATCAATTGTTTTTGTTCAGTCACTCAGGCATTTCAGACTCTTTGCCATCCTGTGGACTGCAGCACACCAAGCTTCCCTGTCCTTCACTATCTCTTGGAGTTTGCTCAAACTCATGTCCATTGAGTCAGTGATGCCATCCAACCATCTCATCCTCTGTTGCCCCCTTCTCCTCCTCCCCTTAATCTTTCATAGCATCAGGATCTTTTCCAATGAGTTGGCTCTGCACAGCAGGTGGCTAAAGTATTGGAGCTTCAGCATCAGTCCTTCCAATGAATATTCAGGGTTGATTTCCTTTAGGATTGACTGGTTTGATCTCCTTGCTGTCCAAGGGATGCTCAAGAGTGTTCTCCAGTACCACAGTTCAAAAGCATCAATTCTTCAGCATTCAGCTTTCTTTACGGTCCAACTCTCACATCTATACATGACTACTAGAAAAATCATAGCTTTGACTATATGACCTCTGTCAGCAAAATGATGTCTCTGCTTTTGAAAACACTGTCTAGGTTTGTCACAGCTTTTCTTCCAAGGAGCAAGCATCTTTTTATTTCCTCGCTGCAGTCGCCATCCCCAGTGATTTTGGAGCCCAAGGAAAAAAGTCTGTGACAGTTTTCATTTCCTCCCCATTTATTTGTCATGAAGTGATGGGACCAGATGCCATGATCTTCATTTTTGAATGTTGATTTTTAAGACAGTTTTTTCACTCTCCTCTTTCACCTTCATGAAAAGGCTCTTTAGTTCCTCTTCACTTTTTGCCATTAAGGTGGTGTCATCAGCACATCTGAGGCTATTGATATTTCCCCCAGCAACCATGATTCCCACTTGAGCTTCATCCAGCCCAGCATTTCGCGTGATGTACTCTGCAACAAGTCAAATAAGCAGGGTGATAATATACAGCCTTGACATACTGCTTTCCCAATTTTGAACCAGTTTGTTATTCCATGTCCAGTTCTGATGTTTCTTGACCTACATACAGGTTTCTCAGGAGGCAGGTAAGGTGATCTGGTATTCCCATCTCTTTAAGAATTTTCCATAATTGTCGTGATCCACATAGTCAAAGGTTTTAGCATAGTCAGTAAAGCAGAAATAGATGTTTTTCTGAATTCCCTTGTTTTCTCTATGATCCAATGAATGCTTGCAACTTATCTCTAGTTCCTCTGCCTTTACTAAATCCAGCTTGTAAATCTGGATTTCTCAGTTCACATACTGCTGAAGCCTAGCTTAAAGGATTTTGAGCACAACCTAGCTAGCATGTGAAATGAGTGCAATTGTATGGTAGTTTGAACATTCTTTGGCATTGCCCTTCTTTGGGATTGGAATGAAAACTGATCTTTTCCAGTTATGTGGCCAATGCTGAGTTTCCAAATTTCCTAACATATTAAGTACAGCACTTTAACAGCATCCTCTTTTCGGACTGTAAATAGCTCATCTGGAATTCCATCACCTCCACTAGCATTGTTCATAGTAATGCCTCCTAAGGCCCACTTGACTTCCACTCCAGGATGTCTGGCTCCAGATGAGTGACCACACCATTGTGGTTATCCAGGTAATTAAGATCTTTTTTGCATAGTTCTTCTTAATCTCTTCTGCTTCTGTTAGGTCCTTGCCATTTCTGACCTTTATCATATCCACCCTTGCATGAAATGTTCCCTTGATATCTCCAATTTTCTTGAAGAGATGTCAGGTCTTTCCCATTCTATTGCTTTCCTCTATTTCATTTGCATTTCACCTAAGAAGTCTTTCTTATCTCTCCTTGATATTCTTTGGAACTCTGCATTTGGTTGGGTATATCCTCCTCTTTCTCCCTTGCCTTTTGCCTCTCTTCTTTTCTCAGCTAATTGTAAAGCTTCCTCAGACAATCACTTTGCCTTCTTGCATTTCTTTTTCTTTGGGATGGTTTTAGTCCCCATGTTCTGTACAGTGTTATGAACCTCCATCCATAGTTCTTCAGGCATTCTGTCTGCCTGATCTGATCTCTTGAATCTATTCATCACCTCTATTGTGTAATCATAAGGTATTTGATTTAGGTCATACCTGAATGGCCTAGTGGTTTTTCCTACTTTGTTCAATTTAAGCCTGAATTTTGTAATAAGGAGCTCATGATCTGAGCCACACTCAGTTCCAGGTCTTATTTTTGCTTACTCTATAGAGCTTTCCCACCTTTGGCTGCAAAGAATATAATCAATCTGATTTCAGTATTGACCAGCTGGCGATGTCCATGTGTAGAGTCACCTCTTGTGTTGTGGGAAGAGGGTATTTCTATGACCAGTGTGTTCTCTTGACAAAACTTTGTTAGCTTTTGCAAGGATCATACACCATGATCAAGCTGGATTCATCCCCGGGTCACAAGGATGGTTAAACATATGGAAATCGTTCAATGTGATACACCACATCAACAAAAGAAAACAAAAACTACACGACCACCTCAATAGATACAGAAAAGGTATTTGATAAAATTTAACATCCATTCATGATATAAAAACTCTTACCAAAGTGGATATCAGGGGAACTTATCTTAACATAATAAAAACTATTTATGTCAAATAACCAACATAACACTCAAAAGTGAAAAGCTAAAAACCTTCCCACTAAATCCAGAACAAGAAAAGGATGTCCTCCCCTCACCACTTCTATTCAACATATTATTGGAAGTCCTAGTCACAGCAATCCAACAAGAAAAAGAAACAAAGGGTATCCAAATTGGAAGGGAAGAGGTAAAACCATCCTTATATGTAGATGACATGATACTATATATAGAAAACCCTAAGGACTCCACACAGAAACTACTAGAATTGATCAACAAATTCAGAAAGGTAGCAGTATAGAAGATTAGTATACAGAAATCAATTGCATTTCTTTATACCAACAATGAAATATCAGAAAGGGAAAGTGAAAAAAATCCCTTTTAAAATCGTATCTATAAAACTACTTAATAAAACTAACAAGTGAGGTGAATATATGCTGTGAACTATAGAACACCAATAAAGTAAACTGAAGATGATATAAACACATGGAAAGTTACCCCACACTCTTGGGTTGAAAGAATTAATAGTGTTAAAATGGCCACCCTACCCAAATCAATCTACAGATTTAATGCAGTCCCTATCAAATTACCCATGATATTTTTTCATAGAACTAAAACAAATATTAAGATTTATATGTAACCACAGAAGACCCGGAGCTGCCAAAGCAACCCTGAGGGAAAAGGTAAAGGAGGGATAAATTAGTAGTTTGGGATTATCAGATGCACACTACTATGCATAAAATAAATAACAAGGACCTACTGTATAGCACAGGGAACTATATTCAATATCTTGTAATATAGTGGAAAAATCTGAAAGGAATATATATATATATTTATGTGTATATCTTAACCACTTTCTATATACCGATAACTAACACAACATTGTAAATCAACTATACTTTAATTAAAGAAAAAAGTAGTAAATGTTCCAAAAAAGAAGAGGAAACCCAGTGTCATGCAGTAATAGGCCACATTCAGAGGTTGATACACGAAGTGGTTGGGTTCTCAGTAGCAGGAGGCACGGAATTAAGATGCGATCATGTCCATTAGCAAGAGCAATGAGTAAGCTGGTTCTATCTGAAGTCATTTCTAAAAGGGTCACTATAGGCAATCTGTTAACAAAATCCCTTCTCCCCCTGCATAGAATTTGACCTTCAGTTAAATATGTTATGGAGGCCTCTTGCTTCCTTGAATGTGAGGGATAACTCCTAGGTATGTATCCCATGGCTCAACCTGGAAACTAAGGCTATGAAATTATTACAAGAGAAACTGATTCTTTGAGACATGAGGCTTTTATTTTAGGGCAGCTTCTATCCTTACCTAAATGTGGATCTCTTCTCCTTGTACCTGAACCGTATAACTGGCAGCAAGGACACTGCAAAAGAAGGTCTGACATTCCCCTGCTGCTGAACTGGATCGCTGAACTATACCCATCTGAGTACACTGGTGCCAGAGTGTCCTAGGACAGTCTTGTGAGTCTGATCATTTGTTTGTTTATTAGAGCCCA